CAATCACATGACTCAAACTCGATTCAACATGCAATGAATGGAAGAAGGTAGGAAGAATGAAGGTTGTGATATGGAGAAAACATGTAGAGAATGGAAAGATGATGTAGATGGAGAGATATGAAAAAAATAGGAATAGAATGTACCCCCAACTCAAATGACGGAAAAAACCAACTGATGCATGAACATAAGACATGGTCATGGTGAAATATACAAAGTGTGTGCTAAGACTAGTTAGCGTAGGTGACATGTTAAGGCTCGTGTCATGACCATGTGGCTAGACTATGTGACTAGACTCAAGAAAAGACTAAGTTAAGACCTCATGTATACGCATTAAACTGGACAGGCTGTGGTATTTTAGTCATAACTTTTGATCTGTGACTCTGATTGGGTTGAAACCAACGCCAAATTAAATATACAACTCGGGGCTATAGATCCATAGGCTGTACGACTCATATTTCTTCCTAGAACTCCAGCTATGACCAAAACAAGTTGACGCTTGTGCAGTATACGGGAATAAAAAACCGGGTTGACTTAAAGGGACTATGACTCGATTTTAGACATATTTATTAGCTCAAATGAATTAATTAATTAAAAAAAGTCCTTTAGTCATTAATTAGTTTATTTGGTCTTAACACAAATCAAACAAACGGTTAGGAAAAATCACATAGAGTATGCACAACAAATAATGCACAACTAGTCAAGTAGGCACAATATGATGCAATGAGTTTGCAACCTAACCATGGCTCTAGTTCTCTAAAGTTCGGGATATGGGTTAGTTAAAGAAGGTCCATGGTTAATTGTCCGGATGCACCGCGCGGAAGCCTTACCGTGAAGGGTTGGCGCAAGTGGATGGGACACCGCGAGTTAAAAACTCGCTTCCATGGTTTGGTGAATTCAACATTCTCGGATGTACCCTTTGTTGCATAGAGCATTCAATCAGGTAGGTGGAGCATGAATTCCCAAAGGGTTATGTCCATATGTAGAACTCATATGGGTTTCAGAAAAGTGAGAAAAACTCAATCAGGAAGTAGGATCGAGCAAACAGTGCTAAAAACTGGTCAAAGTTAGAACGCATATTTCTAGCTCGGTATTGGAAGAGCTTGGCGCCAGCAAACAGAGGCCAGCGCCATAATTTGGCTTTAGCGCCTGGTGACAGAAGCTGTCGCCTGACGCTAACGTCAAATAATTGGCGCTAGACTTTGTTCCCTGACGCTAGTTCCTACATGCCTTAGCAGCTTTCTGTGCTCGATAAAATTTTCCAGTTTCGCACAGCATTATTTCGGTCCTAGTTGTGAAAGATATTCCTCAAATTTCCTACGTGTAAAAATCCTATGTTTTAACTCATTACGGATGGTCTTTCCAATGAGATCTTTTTTATGCATATGACAATAATGTTAATCAAAATTACGCACATGTAATACTTAGAACTTTTGGAGTCTCATCCACTCATTCTAAATCATTGCCGAAATAAATTTTAGGAATTAAAATAGAAATCCTCCCTAGTAGAGTCGCCAAAAACTGTAGGGAATATTTCAAGCATTACCCCCTAGCTTGAACCCCACTGTGATCATACACTAAAGTACGGTGGCGTCAAAAGGGAAAGAAGATAGAGCAAAAAGAGTCGCCAACAAGTTTTTTTAGGAACTTGTAAACCATTCACGAGGTGAAGGTTACACCCCTTAACGATTTAAGAGATCGTCAACTCCATAAGGTCTTGAACCAAATAGGGTTCGGGGATGAAGGTACAAATCCAACCTAAAAGAAATTGAACCTGCCCTAATAATAAGCCTCTACTTTATTCTGATCGTATTCATGTGCGCTTTCTGACTAACATGAAATCATTACGATTAACCCTAAATTTGTTTATCTATGTTGGTTGAATATTAATGCACAAATAAATCTATTATTGGCGATCACTTGAATTATAATCATATTAACCCTAAAAAAGATTATTAATTATCTTATTAAGCGTGATTACAAGTACAAATTCCCTTTAAACATGCGTAAAAGGCGTGATCAAGGAATAAAAATAAATATATATATAATCAAGCAACATAATAATAATCATAAAAATAATAATAATAAATCAAAAAATAATCATGAATCATAAAAATAATCATAAATTATGTTAAAGCATAATAATAGCAAGATCCCAGGCATGATATTAACAAGATTAATAACAAACCCTAGCATGTCACTAAACAATTAAAATCAAATATATAGCCTTAACATTATACTAACAACCATAAAATTAGGAAGAACATAGGAAGCATCATACTTTTAATCATACTTGATATTAAAGTTACCCTAGACATGATACTAGAAATTTATTGTCGTCACCCTAAACATCAAATTAAGGAAAACATCCTAACATGATACTAGGAATCAAAATAACAATCTAAGCATGATTTCTATATCATAATATCAATTAAACCATTAAAGTACTTACTTGGATGCCTCGTATCTCTTTCTAATAACAAAATACACACGTTAGTAACTTCAAGGAAAATAATAAACAACAATTAAATTAAATGATTGAAATAGAGATTTGGGACCAAACCCTCAGATTTTAAACCTTTCACGTCTAGGGCGAAGGCAACTTCGAATATGGCTAGGTGTGCCTAAGTCTTGCGAATGCGGAATTTTATATTTGAGAAAAGGCTAGTTTAGAAAAGAGAAAGAGAATAATCAAGAAAATTTTGATGAGAGTTGGTGATTGAAAAAGGGGAGATATGACCTCTATTTATAGAGAAAAAAGAGAGTCGAAGAGTAAGAAAAGAATCTGAATTCGAATCGAAATAGAACTCGATGGACAGCAATTTTTGCGGATTTTGTTTTTATCATATCTTTTTATCCAGAAGTCCAAATAAGGCATATGATATGTCGTCGGAAAGATAATGAAGTCTAATTTCTAATCCAATTAGAATAAGATTAAAATCTTTTGTAGATAACAAGATATGGCTGAAATAGTAGGACAGTGTCAGTTTTGGATAGAGTTTCATATCTCATTCATATCTTTTTCTTTATAGCTCAGATTTAATATTATAATATATCATTGGAAAGATAATTTCAAGATCTATCCAACCATATAAAAATTAGATAAAGATTATGAGGCACGAAAATAAAATCTGACTGTCTTTGAACATCTTTAAATTCGAATAGAATTAGGATTTAAGAAAAATGAAAGTTTTAAAAAAGGAAAGTTTTTATTTAACTCAAATTCTTTGATTCTTATCTTTCAAAAAAGGATAATTAATATCTTTTAAAAACTTATAGAATCTTCTAATTAATCATAATTATTTTAGGAATAGTATTAAACCTTTGGTCCCTCCACATGATCATTGGGTCGTAGGTAAAATCCGGTTTGAGCCCAGTTTAGTATTTTGACCATAACTTCCTCATTATTCATCGGAATTGGGCTTATAATATATCGTTGGAAAGGTATTTTCAAACCCCATCTAAATACACCATTATTGGACCCATATCATGGACCAAAATAAACTGGAATGCACGTTTTTCAAAAATAGGGTAAGAAAAGAAATGTTTTAAAAAACAGAAAGAAGAGATATTTTAATAAAAACATCCTCATCGCTAGACTTTTCACACTTTCGCTTTGTTCGATAATTAAATGACGTGAAAAGTATTCATCACTGGGTTTGGTTTTGGGGAGACACATTTGGGTGTCTACATGAACCATAATAAAATTCCCTTTTAATATTCTAGTCCAAATTAAACATTTAGTTTAATTAAACATGTTTTCTATCATGCAATAAATAAAAGTGTGGTTCATAATCAACATGCCAAACTATTATTTTTCAATCATTAATCCATCACAATTAAATCATGCTTCATAATTCAATCACTAATATCAACCAAATCACAATTTCCATTCATAATATAGCATGATATTACTTGTAATTAATTAATCACATCTAGCATGCCACTCTCTCATCCAAAAATATGCTAAGTATGCGAATGTACCTTGAATACGATCTTAATATCGCCATGACTAATAGAAATCACTCACTTCAAAGTCTCCTACAATTTAAAATAATAATAGAGCATTAAAATTCACCCTACACAAATTTCTAGCAATATATACTCTTATTAAACCAGTAATAATTTAATTAAAATAAGCTGAAATTTTATTTAAAACCTCATACTTTAATCCCAATTAATGGGTAATTAAAATTCCTTAAAGAAATTTGATTTTTTTTAATATAGTACCAAAAAATTCCAGCATTATATATTAATGAAAACTTGCTGTAATTATTAAACCACTCATAATTTAATTAAAATAAGCTGTAATTTTATTTAAAACCTCATACTTTAATCCCAATTAGCGGGTAATCAAAATTCCTTAAAGAAATTTGATTTTTTTTAATATAGTACCAAAAATTCCAGCATTATATATTAATGAAAACTTGCTGTAATTATGCTTTAAAACACTTAAATTAAAGGTTTAAACCACCCTAAATTATAAATCCTTCAATAATCAATTATTTATGAATCTAGGGTTTCAAAATTGGGGTTTTTAATTAGATTAAAATCATATAATTAAATTACATACTACTTATAATCAAACATTATAATATTAATTACAAAATCCATATTTAATAATTAGATCTAAGGTTTGAACAAAAATTAAAAAAAAAGATTAATTTTTTTTCGAAGGGAAGAAGGCCTGGTAGCAGGTCGACACCACTGCCGGTTGCTGCCAGCTGCTGGTGGTCGTCGCCACTGCCGGCTGGTGCTGCTGGTGGCCGGCGGTGGTGATCCGAAACAAGGGGAAGGGGAAAAAAAGAAAGAAAGAAAAAAGAGAAATAATAAAGGAGAAGAGAGAGAAAGTTTACCTTGATACAAAAATATCCATCATTAATGCAAAGGTAAAAAAGACAAAACTCCCTCGAAAGAAAGGGTCGTGTTGTCTAGCTTGTTCCTAGGGTTTTACTGTCGTTATCTTCGGGTGTTGTAAATTGATTTCTTTTTCTGTGATTTCGATGGCGGATGATATTGTGAGTCGTTATGCGAACCTTAAACTGGATGATGAGGACGAAGGAGTGGTCGATTTGGGAGTGGTTGAATCCTCTTCATTAACAAAGAAATTTCATTTATCGTTAATTGGTAGACTTGTGACTGAAAGACCCTATAACGTTGAGGCCTTCAAGAACACGATGATGAAGGTTTGGGCGTTGCAGGACAATTTGGTGATTAGGGTTTTAGGCCCGAATCTTTATGCCTTTCAATTTTTCCATTGGAGAGACAAGGAGAAAGTTAAGGCTGGACGACCTTGGTGTTTTGATAATCTTTTACTTGTGCTAAGGGAGGTTGAAGGGGATGAGCAACCTGAGAAAATTCCCCTGTTCCATTGTCTATTCTGGGTGCGAATCCAATTTTTATCCTTTAATTGCCGCTCGGATGAGGATGTCAAGGAGTTAGTTGCAAATTGGGGTGAAGTGTTGGAGCTGGAAGAGGACACATTGGGATTGGATCGATTTCGGCGTGCTAAAATTATGATTAATGTTGCTAAGCCTCTCCGTCACTTTTAAAGAATCCTTGACAAAAATGGAAGAGAAATTTGTGTTGAATTTGCCTGTGAACGTCTTCCATATTTTTTTAATGCTTGTGGCATTATTGGACATTCGAAGAGAGATTGCTGCTTAGTTTCAGAGGAGAGTAAGAAGAAGAAACTTGGGTGGGGGCGATGGCTGAAAGCGTCTCCAAGGAAGGGCATAATGCGAGAAGTGGAGGAGCTAGAGGCTGTGCTCACCTCTAGGAAACAACTATTCATTATAAAAGAGGCAGAGCAATTGACTCCCCAAGCAGAACTTGACTCAGAAGAGACTTTATAGATTGGTGGGAACAATGTGAGGCTCAATGCAAATTCATTCGTGAAGGGCTCGGTGAGTAACTCAGAGATAGTTGTTGCAGTTTCTTCGCCTGGAGTGTTGGTGGGGGAAGATGGGGGAAGAGCGGAGAGGTGATGGTAAGAGAGGGTGTTAGTAGGGTAGATAATGTGAAAATTGTGAATAATGAGCTGCTTGAAGTTGAGGTTGATGGCGTGAGTGGAGAAATAAATAAAAAAGGGGAGGTAGTAGGGTTAATTTTTGGAGCTGGAGTGGAGAGTTATACTAAAATAATACAAAGGGTAGGAATAAGGTGTATAAGAAAATAGTGAGGGAAAGGAATCAATTTGATACTCATATGGAGGTGGTGGATGATGTGGTATTAGGCAAAAGAGAAAGGGAGATAGGCTCTGGTGACGGGGAGGGTGCATTATCGAAGAAAAATCTTTTGTTACAAGATGAAATTACTGGATTTCGGGTGGCGGAGGCTGTCAATGAGCAGCCCCGCCGAGCTCCATGAGTTCTTTGAGCCTAAATTGCAGAGGTCTGGGCAACACTTCTGCAATTAATAACCTCCGGAATCTAATTCGAAGGGAGGCCCCATCTCTAATCTTTATTATGGAGACGAAATTAAGGAGTGGTGAAATGTGTAAGGTTCATGCAAAGCTGGTTGGGTATGTGATAGAGGAATAAACGAGTCGTTAATTGTCTATCCCAAAATCAAACACAATTTATAAAATTCTAAACCAACCCAATACAAGTTTAAGGCAAGTATAGGGTCGAACCCAAAGGAGTGAGTCGGTATTAACTATAGCCTAAGTCAAGCTATTTCGAAGATTGTAGTGAGAAAATGGTTGGTATTATGGTAACAAAATTAGACTAATCAAGTAATTTAAGAAGCTAAATACTAGGGATATAGGTTTCACTTGCTATTTTGATAATCGTGCTAATCGATAATTCATTCACTTGATTCAATCATTGCAAAGGACAAACAATAGTAGCAATCAAGAGAGTTCAAGAGCTATATCCTAGAGGCCAAGCTAGGGGTCACTATGAATGGCTAGTCAAGGAAATTCACAATCAAACTCAATAAATTAAAACAATTCTAAAATTGATGGTTCATGTCATTATGAATTGCAATGCAATCTAGATTAATCTTATAGGTTGATCATTCCTAATCTAATTAATCACATGCAAAACTATGTCAACCAATTTAATTGCAACAATTCAATAAATCAAAGATCATCAACTAGCACAAATTATCAATCAAGCATGCTTCCCCTTCTCCCTAGTAACTAATCTACTCACTAATCATGGTGTAACTCAAGAACAAATCACTAGAATTAGCATTGATCATCATTCTAAAACAAAATCAAGAGAAAACAATATCAACTACAATATCCAATTCAAATCCAAGTAAATCAAACAATCAAACATGAAACTAAAACAAACAAGTAAAGAGACGAACTAGAAGAAGAAATTCTTACTAACATTAATGATTGAAAATGAAGAAATCCAAGCACAATTGATCCAATGTTGAAATACAAATCCAATACCAAGAACTTCTCTATAGTTTCTCTCTCTAAAACTAAGCTAATGAAAATTATCTAAAAGTTGTTTTCAAAAAGGAATTACAAGTGTATTTATAGGCAAAGAAGGAAAACGGGATCCCGCGCCCTCTCTAGTAAACCCGCGCCCGCGGGGAAATGGGTACGGAAACCATAACAAACTCCGCGGGCTATCTGGACAACATCAAATAGACTCAACAAATAAGCTAAGCACCAACTTTTGCTTTTGCATCTTCGTTTGCTTGTGTCTGCACACATACATATACACACACACACTCACAAGTCATACACATGTCATGTCACATCAAGTCAAACTTGGTCAAGTTAGTGGTCAAGTCAATCACAATATATACGAGTCCATTGACATATTTATTTTTGCAGGTCTCATCTACAGCCCACGTCCGGGGACAAGCGGACCATCTACAGCCCACATCCGGGGACAAGCGGACCATCTATAGCCCACGTTCGGGGACAAGGGAACCAATTACAGCCCACGTTCGGGGACAATCGAACCACCATCATTTCATGGTGCAAGGTTCTCGATACACAGAGACTTGCAATCTCATCATTTGTCGACTTTCCTCGAGCATGGAAAGTATTATTTGGTGGATTTCTTCAAGCATAGAAAATCGCCAAATTCCTTTGTCGGCTTTCCTTAAGCAGGGAAAGCATTATCGGTGGATTTCTTCAAGCATACAAAAACGCCAAAATCATATGTCAACTTCCCTCAAGCATGGAGAGTGTCATCCGGTAGGTTTCTTTAGGCTTAGAAAGCTACCAAACTCATCTGACGGCTTTCCTCAAGCATGGAAAGCATTCAACAAACGTCATCCGGTGGATTCCTTCAAGCATAGGAAGCTACCAAACTCATTTGTCACCAATACACTGGTGTTAGATAAGAATTCAATCCCTTTACTCTTTTATCTGTGAAACTAACATTTTTTTGCAGGTGTCGGCGTATACAGAGTGATTTAGGATCGCAGAACGTCTTAAATCATTCTCCGTCCTATCGACTACTTTGACTATCGTTTTTGAAACTGAAGTTTCTGCAAAATCAGTCAAAGTGGGGGCTTCTGTAGACACCTAAAAATGTCTCCCCAAAACCAAGCCCGATGATGAACAACCTTTCATCGCCATTATTGGTCGAGTTGAGTATTTAATTTTTGGAGTGCCTAAATCCATATTTCCATTTCATAAACCAACTCAATTCCTAGCCCATTTCCCCAAACCATAACTTATTTTCCTATTTTCGTGCCTTTAAACTCAAAATAATTCATTTCGTGTCCTTTAAAATAATTCATTTCGTGTCCTTATTATAAAAACGTTTGATCTAGTTTATTTTGGTCCATAATCTGGGTCCAATTATTGAATAGTTGGATGGGGATTTAAAAGAGCTTTCCAACGATATATTATAAGCCCAAATTCGAGTTTTAACGAATAAGTTATGACCAAAATATTAAGCTGAGCCCAAACCGAACCTAAGCCCACCTTACCTACGACCCAATGATCATGTGGAGGGTCCAAATTATTTAATCCCATTCCTAAACCAATTAGGATTAATTGGAAACTTCTATAAGTTTCTAAAAGATATTAATTATCCTTTTTGAAAAGATAAGATTAAATAGTTTGAAATTGAATAAAACTCCTTTTTTTTTAAAATTCTATTTATATCCGAATTGAAAGACGTTCAAAGATAGACAGATATTGTTTTCGTGCATCATAGTTTTTATCCAAATTTTATATGGTTGGATAACTCTTGAAATTATCTTTCCAATGATATATTATAATATCAATTCCGATCTACGAGTATAACGAAAAATATATGAATAAAATGTCAAACTCTATCTAAAACTGACACCGTCCCACTATTTCGGCTATATCTTTTGTTCTACAGAATATTTTAATCCGATTCTAATTGTGTTAGAAATTATACTTCAAGAGCTTTCCAACAATATCTTATTCATTTTATTCCGATTCTGGATAAAAAGATATGATAAAAACAAAAACCGCAAAAACTGCTGTCTATCGAGTTTTATTTCGATTTAATTCGGATCTTATCTTAATTCTTCGACCCTTCTTTTTTTCTCTATAAATAGAGGTCATATCACCCCTTTTCCAATCATCAACAAGTTTTATCATCAAATAATTCTCTTCTCCCTCTTTAGCCTAAACACTAGCCACACTATTCTCTCATAATACTTCCCCTAAGCGCTCCAAGGAGTCCATACAATACCCGAAGTTCTATACTTAAACTAAGGCGTGAAAATTATAATTAACTGAGGGTTTGGAACAAATCAACTCTACATTTATTTAATTTAATTTAATTTTCATTTGATTTATATTTTTATTGAAGTTACTAACGGTTTATTCATGATGTAGCAATTCAAGGAAACGCGGAAAATGAGTAATTAATTAATTTAATTACTCTTATTTTATTTTTGTATTGCTAGTATCATGATTAGGTTATTTTATATTTGATTTTACTAACACTATTATTGTTAAATTGCTTCCAATATTAATGAGAATTCTATTATTTTTATTGATCTCCATATTGCATGTTTAAAGGGAATATGTAATTGAAAATCACGCCTAATAAGATAATTTGGACAACCGGTTTAGGTTCCTTTTTAATCTTGTTATTTAATCAAGTGATCACAATATTTTAGAATTATGTGTTGCATTAATATTCAACCAATTTAGCTTAATAATAGTTTGGAGCAAATTGAATCCTTGTTTGCATGCCTTTGAGATCGCAGGAATCACTTTTCACTATAAGAATCGAGTAGAGGCCAATACGGGCGAATGTGACTCCATGACTCACTTTGTACCATCATCCCCGATCCTCCTTTCGTGGTTCCGAACTATATGGAGTTATTAATCTCATGGATTATGAATGGGGTGTAACCTTCACGGGTCAATCGTTGTTGTCTTCGTTGTCCCTTTATCGTGGTTGCCTTTTATGATCCGTGAACGGTTTACAAGTTCCTTAAAAACTTGTTGGCGGCTCCCTACTTTCCTTGTCCCTAATCGTATGTTAATTCCCACTTCCTATGAGTGCCAAGCATATTCACACATGCTTTTAACGTAGGCGCACTTTAAATGATGCCTAGAATTTGGCGACTCCACTGGGGAGGA